AGAGCTCGTGCGATGTTACTGAATCATAATTCCCAATAAAATAAAGTTTAAAGAGAGTTGCAGTCTTTAATCCGTGTTTTCAGGAGAGTAGCGCAACAAATTCATTAAAAAAATCGAACCAACAGGGCGATTTTTTGACTCTTTCAACCTTGGAAAGAGAAAAAGTATTCGTTGTAAAGCTCCGACCTTCTACTTCAATACAAGTGGAGAATTGCAAAAACTTCAATATAAAGAAAGTTATAACAATTTGAAGCCAAAAAATCCAGCGCTCTGCAAAAAAATCGGTATGCGATTCTCCGGTGCGATGGAAAGAGTTTTTGTGAAACCTTGAGCACTTTTAAGAAAGAAAACAGTCTGAGCTTTTCAATATCTCTTAAAATGTCTCTCCCCATAATTCCTTCTTTGAAGAAAGTTACAACCTTTCAAAGGACGAAGTGCGCATTTCTGTGAATTCTTTGTTCTCTACCCCATAACTGACGTAGTTTTGAAGATGAGCATAATCGTGGTTACCTTCTGAAACAAGCAGTTTTGTAGATGACAAATCTACTAGCATTTGAAGAAATATTGATATTGAACAAAATTTACGCTTATTTGAAAGTCAATAGTCTGTTTCTCGCTGCCCGCGCTGCGCCGAGGGGAAGATTGCGCGCGCCAATGCGAACGCAACGCTCCCGTGCTCCAATCGGACACTTCTGCTGTATACTCTCATGCTCTGAGATGCGCCATGCACTTCGTTCGATATGCTTGCATATCGAAATGGAAATTTTTGTGGTTCTCAACACCGATTCATGAAAAGCAGGCAATAGCGCCCTTATGAACTAAAGCGGCATAACTGTTTAGCCAACTAATGATGGCAGTTTTCGTTTGTTTGTTTTTTTTTTGTTCGTTTTCTGTTATGCACTAGTAGATTACCGGATATCAGGAAACTAGAGCTCGTCTGCTAACTGTGTTTGAATTCAAGCCAAGTGTCTTTAGATTTTTTGTAGATTGCACTTATTTCCCCTAGTGTTAGCTTTTTCCTTAGCAGTGTACAGTACATAATGAGTGCGGGGGGGGGGGGGGTCGTATGGAGACTCTCCAAGAAGGGGCGGTCGTAAAAATTTTGAAATCGGCCCAACGTGACGGTTAACCCTGCTTGCAGAAGTGAAGTGGCTAATGATCTTGGGACAGAAATGTCCATCGTTCATCATCGCATTTCATCACACAGCCTCTACACACATTCGCAGGAAATTTAGGCAAAGTAGCGGTCGAAGGGAGTATGGTGCTGACGATGGAACGCAAATGAAATAAGTGATTCTTATCTGGTATTAGGTCTGAAGCGACCAATTGTCCTTGTCTACATCGTTCATGAGCTTTTATCAACTATTATCATTCTCGGCTCACCACCAAATGTGTTCCCGTCCCGCACTCCGCCGCACTTGACGAATTAAACGCGTTGCTTCTGTGACACGCGATACTCATTTGGTGACAGGTGCCTATCGCACTCCTTACTCCCTATTATCGGCTGCTATCATAATATAGCCCACAAAACATGTTCCCGTCCTACCCTCCACACAACTTGTTGAAACCAACACTCCACTGCTGCCGGGACGTATTAATATCGCGAAATTTGCCTTTTCAGCGCCTCTTATCAGCTCTTTTCAGTCCCTATCACTTTCTGACCACCTCATACGTTCCTATGTCCCCTACATAATGCTGAAATTACAGCGTTCCATCGCTGCAGCGAAGAGCGCTATGAATTTCGTGATAAACGTACACACACAAACAAACACACACAAACACACACATACTTAGCGAATTATATATATTAGGATCATTTTCAACATATCAGCAACTAGGTAAAATAGATGGTTCCCTGAGCTTCATTGATTCGAATGTTGTAGCATTAGATGAGAGAGAAGCTCTTGTTCTTGATCAGACTTTATTGGCGACGTTTCGGGCATAAGCCCTTCTTCAGGCCGACTGAATCTTAAGCAATCATACAACAGTATACCACATACTTCAATAAGTCACAGCACTTATAATAAGTACAACAATAACCTACAGGATACTTGGGTGGACCGGAAGGAAGAGGGAAATTGGTAGGCATGACTTTTATGGGTATATATATACACGTCATATGGGAACCGACTCGACTTCATCACGTTTCCTTTCCGTATTATATTGATACCAGACTCATTGCCACTTTCATCTCCTCCTTGTTGTTTATCAATGGCTTCTGTTGCCTTATTTCTAGCGCTTCCCTTATTTTCCTTTCGACTGGATCCACCACATTTCTGTGAATAATGGAGACGAGAAGCTCGGGCGGTGTTTCCTGCGAATGCCGGAGTGTACGATGTCTGGAGAATGGATTTTCCGGGTAGTTCTGTGGACTACGCAAAGCTCTTCGGTGTTCATCCATTCTCCTATGTAGTGGCCTTGATGTTTCTCCGATGTAAAACTCGTTACACGTGAGGCACACCACTTTGTACACCACGCATTTCTCCTGACACACCTTATGTTCTCCACATATTGTGCAGTTTACTCTTTCACACCGACTTTCGTACGAACGCGAAGATGTTAGAAGGCGTCGTAAAGTAGGAGGAGGACGAAAGATCAGACTTATTGGAAGTCGTGATCGCTTTACGACGCGGTTAACATCCATCGCGAAGGAGTCGGTAATGAAAGGTAACACCAGTGGAGTGCCACAAGGTGATCGGCATGGTTTCCAGCTTCGAAGGTGCTGTCGTTTATATCCGTTTTGCCGCAGAACTTCATCAACTTTCCGTCTCTATGTCTTCGGGATTCGCGGAGGTCAGTTTATATGATGTGGAGATCATGTGGCGAACCACATTCAGCTTCATGTAGACAGGATGGCAACTTCTCGCATGGATTAGTATGTTCTTGGATGCCGGCTTCTTGTACCACATGGTGCTAATCTGACCATCCGTGATCTTGATCTTAGTGTTCAGAAATGGGAGGAAGCCATCTGGGGAAGGGCGCTCAGCTGTTAACTTTATCGACTGGCACTTTCTGTTCAATCTTCCAAATGTTTGTCGCAATGTTCTTCGAGATTTCCCAACGATGAAAATGTCGTCGATATATCGTCCAAAGTATAGTACTCTTGACGATAATGTTGACCTCTCAAGGCTATCCATGAAAACGATTGCGAGCAGTGGAGCCAGTCTGCTACCCATGGCAAGTCCACGTGTCTGCTTGTAGTAGGCATTATTAAATCGAAATATGTTCACCTTCACCACGTTTCGAAGCAGCTCTTCAACTTTTGTCGACACCTAGACCATAACTTCGGAGAGTTGTGATAATGGGGATGTATAAGGTGTACACAGGCCTCTGCAGCTCTTTGTGTGTCGACATTCGTGTACAGTGCAATAACATCGAAGCTTTCGTATTCCAAACTTGGCTCGTTGTGGAAATTGCACTGTGTTAACTGCTCCAGGAATTGGTTTACGTTCTTTAGGTGGTGGGGGACATAGGAAAGCAGGGGACAGAGGATGCGTTGTAAGAACCAACTTATTCTGTCCGTTGGACCGTCACAGGACGCTACTATTGGCCTCGTTTTGATGGAAGAAGTGTCCAGATCACCGCATTCGTTTCTCACCAACTTATGAGTCTTTACAAGTTGATAATAAGTCGGTACGCTTGTATACTTCGGCACAAGTTGATCCACTGTGCTCTTCTCAAGCTTTGGGCCAAGAATTCTTTTCACCACTTCATCAAGGTGCTGACATTCTCGTTTATACTAGCGTTCGGCAGAAACTACCTCGTATGTAGTGGTATCCGATAAGACTTGTTCGCTAAGAGACACGTCCCGCTCGCGAGACATCACAACAAAACCACCACACTTATCTCCTACTGAAAACCGCAACGTCCTCTTTAAGTTGATAGCTTTCCTGAGACCTGCTCTCTCCGTTTCTGTCATGTTATCTGGAGTTTGCCGGTTCCTGTGGTAGCGAAACACTCGAAGGAGGTTCATTTTGAGTGCGGTCAGCTTTGGGGTAAGTTCAGGGTCATGTTGTGGGAACGCGTACGTATTTACGAGGAAAAGGCATTTCTTTTCGTAATGTCTCTTGGAGCGTTGCTGCCGTGGATCCAATTTGGCGTTTCCAACTTTGACTGTACCAATATTTATGGACTGCAGTGATGATGTCACCTTCTATAGTCCTGGAGAATTCTGGTTGTGGACAAAAACTTGGTCCCAGGTTCAACATTGCTTCAACGTCGTGATCCACGCAATCGCTATCGATGATCGTGCATCGATATGGAGGTATTGAGTCAGAAATCACAAAAGATGGCACTGACGAGTTCATTAATCGGTCATATTTTTGTCCAAGTCTTTGTTGGACTGATCGTCGTAGCCTTTCACAAGCAGTTCTATGATAGCTGAGAATTTGCTGCCAACATTCAGCGCTTACATGTTGTAAAAGCATCGCTTTCAGACGTCGTAAATGTCGATGTCGATGTTGTAAATGCAGTTGCTCCTTGTCCTTCGTTGATTCGCTATTGCGGCATCAAGGGACAACGTTGAAGTTGTTTTATCGTACGTCGAACACCATCCTGACGAAAATGGCGGAATCGTGCTAACATGTGACGTCTGAAAGCGATGCGATGCGATGCTACGACGATCAGTCCAACAAAGACTTGGACAAAAATATGACCGATTAATGAACTCGTCAGTGCCATTTTTGTGATTTCTGACTCAATACCTCCATATCGATGCACGATCATCGATAGCGATTGCGTGGATCACGACGTTGAAGCAATGTTGAACCTGGGACCAAGTTTTTGTCCACAACCAGAATTCTCCAGGACTATAGAAGGTGACATCATCACTGCAGTCCATAAATATTGGTACAGTCAAAGTTGGAAACGCCAAATTGGATCCACGGCAGCAACGCTCCAAGAGACATTACGAAAAGAAATGCCTTTTCCTCGTAAATACGTACGCGTTCCACAACATGACCCTGAACTTACCACAAAGCTGACCGCACTCAAAATGAACCTCCTTCGAGTGTTTCGCTACCACAGGAACCGGCAAACTCCAGATAACATGACAGAAACGGAGAGAGCAGGTCTCAGGAAAGCTATCAACTTAAAGAGGACGTTGCGGTTTTCAGTAGGAGATAAGTGTGGTGGTTTTGTTGTGATGTCTCGCGAGCGGGACGTGTCTCTTAGCGAACAAGTCTTATCGGATACCACTACATACGAGGTAGTTTCTGCCGAACGCTATAAACGAGAATGTCAGCACCTTGATGAAGTGGTGAAAAGAATTCTTGGCCCAAAGCTTGAGAAGAGCACAGTGGATCAACTTGTGCCGAAGTATACAAGCGTACCGACTTATTATCAACTTGTAAAGACTCATAAGTTGGTGAGAAACGAATGCGGTGATCTGGACACTTCTTCCATCAAAACGAGGCCAATAGTAGCGTCCTGTGACGGTCCAACGGACAGAATAAGTTGGTTCTTACAACGCATCCTCTGTCCCCTGCTTTCCTATGTCCCCCACCACCTAAAGAACGTAAACCAATTCCTGGAGCAGTTAACACAGTGCAATTTCCACAACGAGCCAAGTTTGGAATACGAAAGCTTCGATGTTATTGCACTGTACACGAATGTCGACACACAAAGAGCTGTAGAGGCCTGTGTACACCTTTATACATCTCCATTATCACAACCTCCAGCTTTTTGGTCTTAGTGTCGACGAAGTTGAAGAGCTGCTTCGAAACGTGGTGAAGGTGAACATATTTCGATTTAATAATGCCTACTACAAGCAGACACGTGGACTTGCCATGGGTAGCAGACTGGCTCCACTGCTCGCAATCGTTTTCATGGATAGCCTTGAGAGGTCAACTTATCGTCAAGAGTACTATACTTTGGACGATATATCGACGACATTTTCATCGTTGGGAAATCTCGAAGAACATTGCGACAAACATTTGGAAGATTGAACAGAAAGTGCCAGTCGATAAAGTTAACAGCTGAGCGCCCTTCCCCAGATGGCTTCCTCCCATTTCTGAACACTAAGATCAAGATCACGGATGGTCAGATTAGCACCATGTGGTACAAGAAGCCGGCATCCAAGAACATACTAATCCATGCGAGAAGTTGCCATCCTGTCTACATGAAGCTGAATGTGGTTCGCCACATGATCTCCACATCATATAAACTGACCTCCGCGAATCCCGAAGACATAGAGACGGAAGTTGATGAAGTTCTGCGGCAAAACGGATATAAACGACAGCACCTTCGAAGCTGGAAACCATGCCGATCACCTTGTGGCACTCCACTGGTGTTACCTTTCATTACCGACTCCTTCGCGATGGATGTTAACCGCGTCGTAAAGCGATCACGACTTCCAATAAGTCTGATCTTTCGTCCTCCTCCTACTTTACGACGCCTTCTAACATCTTCGCGTTCGTACGAAAGTCGGTGTGAAAGAGTAAACTGCACAATATGTGGAGAACATAAGGTGTGTCAGGAGAAATGCGTGGTGTACAAAGTGGTGTGCCTCACGTGTAACGAGTTTTACATCGGAGAAACATCAAGGCCACTACATAGGAGAATGGATGAACACCGAAGAGCTTTGCGTAGTCCACAGAACTACCCGGAAAATCCATTCTCCAGACATCGTACACTCCGGCATTCGCAGGAAACACCGCCCGAGCTTCTCGTCTCCATTATTCACAGAAATGTGGTGGATCCAGTCGAAAGGAAAATAAGGGAAGCGCTAGAAATAAGGCAACAGAAGCCACCGATAAACAACAAGGAGGAGATGAAAGTGGCAATGAGTCTGGTATCAATATAATGCACTGGGAAAGGAAACGTGATGAAGTCGAGTCGGTTCCCATATGGACGTGTATATATATACCCATAAAAGTCATGCCTACCAATTTCCCTCTTCCTTCCGGACCACCCAAGTATCCTGTAGGTTACTGTTGTACTTATTATAAGTGCTGTGACTTATTGAAGTATGTGGTATACTGTTGTATGATTGCTTAAGATTCAGTCGGCCTGAAGAAGGGCTTATGCCCGAAACGTCGCCAATAAAGTCTGATCAAGAACAAGAGCTTCTCTCTCATCTAATGCTACAACATTCGAATCAATGAAGCTCAGGGAACCATCTATTTTACCTAGTTGCTGATATGTTGAAAATGATCCTAATATATATAATTCGCTAAGTATGTGTGTGTTTGTGTGTGTTTGTTTGTGTGTGTACGTTTATCACGAAATTCATAGCGCTCTTCGCTGGAAGATTTCAAAGGAGTTCTTTTTGAAACTTTTCGTGTTTTTTGGAATTTTGGAGTTTTTTGAACATTTTGCAAGTTTTTGGGACTCTTTTGAAATAAATTTTGGTGCCACTTTGTGTTTTATAACATCTAGGTCCTGATGAGGCTCCGGGAAGCACAATACTGAGAGACTAAGCGAATTGCCTGAAGAACAGAATTGTGAGTGAACGAAATTTCTACATATAATTTTTTCACATATGCTACCTATTCGCATGATTTGCCGCTTCTTGGGCTATGTCGTATGACAGTCAAACTGCCAAACAGTTTGCTTTACAGACCCGGACATTATTTCTATCCCGGGGCTTTATACTCAGTCCGAACGAACCCCAATATGGAACTAGGCTGTGATTTTCGGTGGCTAAGCAGCATGGGTAAGCTCGAACGGAAATTGTGTCTTTTTTCCGTCCTTATCAACCCCTTCCGATCTGAATACAATTGAAATATTCATGAATTGCCTGCCTTTATGTTGGTGTCGTTCTATGTCCCCCCTCGTAGTGACAATATTCACAACCCCAACATACTAACCGAACACGATCAATAAGCGTGGAGTTGAGCCACAGGCCGCTGTAATTGCTTACGTTTCAGCTAGAGAACCGTTAAGTAGGGGTATTTGAAGTGTACGTGTGACGTCAGCCTATACCTAATTGAAAATATTTCATAAAAAATAACCTACCAGAGACAAGAACAGTCATGTTCCGGATTCAGATGCTGGATCAAACCTTCTATAACGCTGTGGGAAGCGGATAAAAGGTTGAATTTGCGTGTCAGGCTATAAAAATTCCCAGTGGGTGTTTCCCGCACTATGCAGGCTGTAGGTATATGTACCGGTTAGCGCGGTGAGTGTGTTGTAATGTTTTAAAAATTCAGTCCTCAACGCTTTGAAGTAATTGATAATTGTATTACAGGGTTTATAGCAGAGAATGTGTGATTGCAAGTGCTGCTACATACATAGCCCAGAATCAAATTGGCTATTTATCCGGTCCTCGTCCAATGATCTTTCCCATAGTAGAGTTATAATTGGAACCAGAGTCAACCATGCGTTGCGCAGGTCTCAACGTGAGGGATCGCATTTCAGCGCGTTTTCAGAGGAGGGTCGTATTAGCGGTTGGTGGAAGTCAAAAGGTTGGAAAAGGGGGGTCGAATTTTTGGAGGTCGGATGGACTGGGGTGAGGAGGCTCGTTTTCGACGGTCTAAATATTTCTAAATAAATAATTTATGTTGAGACTCGAAAAAGTAGACGTGAAGAGTTTGAAATTAGGGAATCTGTTGCTTCATCAGATTTACTTACTCTTGGCGATCTGTCGGGAGGCGAAAAAGAGGCTGTTCGGCGATTGGCTGGCTGTGTCGACTGGTCTCAGAATAAACTTCAACAGATACTAGAATATTGTAGGAACAGCCATGATGGTAGGAGTGAAAGGTCGAGTGTGGGAAGGGCTCTTGTCGGGGATTCTCCCAAAGCTGATGGTAGTGACTAGGGATCGTATCGAGACCTTCAAAGGAAGATGCCTTGAAATTTTCAGGGATTGGATCAACAGACGGT